ATTTCAATTGAATTTCGAATTATTTCAAATCTGTAGAATTGATCACATTTGGTATTGTTGTGCTTTCAGAGAGAACTTCTGCTGTCCAAGGTAGAAATTCTGGTCATCGTTTTGAGAAAGACATTTTGCAACTTTTGATTTAAGTCAAATTTAACCATTTTCTTGTCTTATCAATATGCACGCTCTACTGTTTCTTTTTTCGCTTTTTGTTAGGTCTTTCTACTCTCGTAATATTATAAACTGAACAGATTTTGGATATTGAGTGATTTTTTTAAATGTCTATTTCTTTGTCTACAAGTAGTAAGATAAAGTGATATCACAGTGAAGTACCTTTGAATCACATCCGTTTTTTTCTTTTTTTTTAGTTCTTTTTTTCTGAGCTGAATAGAAAAAGCATGATTGCAACAAATGTCAACAACTGAAAATTGCTTTTATCTTTCGGATTTTTTCAGTCTGTATTGAATTCAGATTACCGATGCTGCAATCTGTCAACCTTTGAGGCTCGCGAGAGTCTTTGTTCGCATTTTACAAGCTGAAAAAATGCGCCTCTTTTTTTCCTCTTTTTTTATTAAAAATCCTCTTTTCTCTGACAACGAAATTCCTCTTTTTTCCTCTTTTTCGACGAGCTGTCGGTGGGATGCCAGGTTAATGTACATCATTGTATTATGTAATCTTAATGTTGTCATTTTGTTTTGCTAGTCAATTGCATAAAATAATCTATCATATTATCTACGATATATGAAACGATTTTTTTAGCGACTTTTGCACACTCAATCAAACTCATCAATTTAGTCTTTTCTTGTTTATTGAACGTTTATTAAAACATTGTTTTATACAGATTATTCATGGAACGTATTAGAGAATTATTAAGATAAGTAAAATGTATCAAATCTGCATTGCCGATAGATATCTATGGCAAGCCTTTCAACTAAATTTGTTTTAGTTATGCATCGAAATTATCGTCGTTCAGATAATGTACGAATAAATTGATTTTCTTTCTATTTTTTCATTTCAAAAAAAAAAGATACTGATGCAGAGTTTAAATAAGATTAGAAAAAATATGCTTGATTTAAATTCGATATCAATAATTGATTATATTCTCTTTAATTAACTTATACGACTAACAGTGTTAACTTATATTTGTAAAATAGAAATAAATCAAATATCGTAATTGAAAATGATTTGTTTTATTTTATAAACAAGTAATATTTGTAGAATTTATTCTAATTTGAGCTTGTAACTTTTCATCAGAAAAATGACAATTTAAATGTATAATTGACTCGAATTTCGAATTGTGAACTAAAATAGCAACTAATTCACTTAGTACACCTTTAACCATTATTGTCATTTGAATATTATCAGAATTAATAGTTAAAGAATAAAACCATATTTAGTTGATAAAGAATCATTAAAATATCATAAAGGTAAAGTATACCAAAGACAAAATAATGTATCATTACATTATTCATTTAATACAAAGAGAGAATGATTTTCATAAAAAGTAAATAATTCATATTGATTATCAAATGACCAAATTAATCCAGGAGATAATGATCCAATCATTGATGGAATTAATGTATAATTTCGTCCCATTGATGATGCAAATATTATTGAAAATATTTGATTCTTTATAATTGTTTTCGTTGAATAAAGTTTACCTTGTGTAATACCTTTATTAGACGTCTAATCAGAAATAAATAAGATAATTGTTCTTAAAGGTATCGAAGGTTTTAAGGGTATGGGTGTATGAGTGTGGGGTGTGCGTGGGTGTGGGCTGTGGGTGTGGGTGTGTGTGTGGTGTGGGTGTGCATGTTAGTATTTGTTTTCTTCTCACTAACACCCACCCGCACCCACACCCACACCCACCCACGCCCACACCCACACCCACACCCAC